ACATCCTGTGTGAACGTGAGACCCTTAGAGTTGTCCAATTCATAGAGACAGAAGGTAGGAGGCCAGGTGCCAGGGCTGGGAAAAGGGAATGGGGAGTTACTGTTTAATGGGCACAGAGTCTCAGTTTGAGAAGATGGAAAAGTTCTGGAGATCATGGTGGTTATGGCTGCACAACAATGTTAATATGCTTGATGCCAACAAACTGTACACTTAAAAATGGTTAAAGTGGTGACTTTTATGGTATATATATCGTACCACAATTTAAGAAATTTAGTTTAAAACACTGTCATAGCCCTACCCGGTTTGGGTCAGTGGATAGAGTGTCGGCCTGCAGACTGAAGGGTCCCAGGTTTGATTCCAGTCAAGGGCATGTACCTTGGTTGCGGGCACATACCCAGTAGGAGGTGTGCAGGAGGCAGCTGATCGATGTTTCTGTCTAATCGATGTTTCTAATTTTCTATCCCTCTCTCTTCCTCTCTGTAAAAAAATAAATAAAATATTTAAAAAACTGTCATAAAAAATGCACGGCCTTGGCTGTGTTGGTGGTCTGAGGGACACAGAAATCTGGCTGTAGTGGGTCCCAGCATGGTCACAGGTGCTAACGGTAAAGGCGCTTAGGGACAACCTCCGGGCTGGGGCAAGTGGATGAGCCGGTCTCAGATTTTTAAGTAAAATGTCTCTGAAGTGGCCCAGGACACAGCTGTGGGGAACATCCACACTCAATGACTGCCAGGCAGGGAGCTGAGCCTTGGAGGCCAGGACTGATCTGTTTAGGAGAACACCCACATAGTGCAGCTTTCGCACCCTCCACTCAACCCACTTCATGTCCCAGAGTTTGACCCAAATGCCAGGGAAAAAGCTGTGTCCTGTCTGCACTCATCAGACCAAGCAAATCGGGTCTTTTTGTTAAATGATATGAACAAAGAAATCTCAAATATTTCGCAGGTTTTTCACTAAGAAATACTGTGTATCTGAGAGCAGAGTCCCTGGGGAGACTGTGGCACATTCACAAACTCCGGAATAACCCCGTAGGACGAGGCCCCGGCAGACACTGCACGTCCCACTCTACTCGGCGATGTTAGGACAGTGGGACCAGGCACTTCTCTGTGGAGCCGCACAGAAATTGAAACGACAAATAGCACAGTCTGTTTAGTTCCCGGAGACACTGTGGCGGACGCCTATGTTGCACGGGTCAGCTTCCCACTCTTTAGAAGTACATCGGGGTCCAGGGATGGGTTGCTGATAATGGGCTTTGGGATGATTTGTGGTCATCGTCTCTGGCTGGACCATTTAAAGCGGCCACCGCAGCTGCAGTGCCGCATGAGCTGGGATTTCTTGTTCAGAAAACTCAGCACGAGGGTCTAAATCACACTGTGAAGTCACTGCCCTGGTGTTTGCATCTCTGTCAGGAAAGTGATCTGAACCATTGAAATAAGGCAACAAGCCCAGCCAGAGTGGGGCTCAGTTGGTTGAGCATCATCCCATTCACCGAAAGGTTGCTGGTTCGTTCCCAGTCATAGCACATACCTGGGTTGCAGGTTTCACCTCTCTCTCTCTCTCTCTCTCTCTCTCTCTCTCTCTTTCTCTTCTCCTTTCTCCCTTCCTCTCTCTTTACTTCCTCTCTTTAAAAGTCAATTTTCAACTTAGGTCATAGAAGCCACCTACACACATTGAGGAGCAGGTGCAGTCCATGGAAGACAAGGGGTCATTTTCATTCCTTCACCTCTACCCTGCTTCTCATAGACTCTATGGCTTAGAAGACATGGAAAAGAAGATGAAAGGAAAGGGAAGGGAAGGGAAGGGAAGGGAAGGCAAGGGAAGGCAAGGGAAGGCAAGGCAAGAGAAGAAGGTAACAACTTGGATGGCACCTTTCCATTCAAGGATCATCCAGGAACTTAATTTTGCATCTAACAGCCACTAGGTCCTGACTGCCTGGGGTTATCTCGCTTCCCAATAGTTTTTACGCTGGTTTTAACATCTCACTGCTTCCCTCTTGAGTAGAACTGTATTTTCATGAGCACCGTGGCCTTTCCTTTCTGAATGATGCCTTCATGGTTGAAGTGTTGGAACGAGAGAGCAGTCAGGCTTCACTCTCTCCGTCCACATAACCAGTTGTCCCAGATACGTCTGTGTAAAGGACTTCCTTCCCCCACTGGCCTGAGCCAGCGCCTCCACTGAACACTGCCTGTCTGTCCGTACACCATGCAGCCTTAGTTACCATGGCCTTCGAGTCAGTCGGGAAGGCAGTCAGCATAAGTCCTACAGTTCGGTTCTTTACCAAGATTGCTTTGGCGAGTCTGGGCCCTTTGTATTTCCATATAAATTTTAGAATTAGCCTGTCAATTTCTACAAAAAAGAAAAACTCTACTGTGATAGGATTGGGATTGCTTTATATTGATAGATGAATTTAGAGGGACTTTCCATCAGGAACTTGCATATCTCAGTGTGCTTACATCTCCTCTCTGTACTGTCATTGCTTTCAGCATGTAGGTCTTACACATGTCTTATTAGATTTTTTCCTAGGTTATTTATTTTTTTAATCTTTATTTCATCTGGGCTTGAAGTTGTCTTTGTGGGATAGTTTTGATTACAACTTCAATTTGTTTAATAGATATTGGGCTATTTAGATTTTCTAGTTCTTTTTGTATGACTTTTTTAGTGTCTTTCAAGAAATGTGTTCATTTCATTTAAATTGCTTATTTCATTGAATATCAGTCTTACTATTCTTTTAATATCTGTAGGATCTGTAATAATGTAGTCTTTAAAATTCCTGGTGTCAGTAATTTGTGTTTTCCTTGATCAAGCTTGCTAGGGATTTACACTTTTATTAATCTTTTCGAAGGACCAAAGTTTTATTTTATCGATGACCTTTACTATTTGACTGCTTTAGAAAAATTTCCTTGATTTTTACTCTTGTTTTTACTTTTCTTTCCTTCTATTTACCATGGATTTCATTGGCTTTGTTCCCTAGTTTCTTGAGGGAAGGTTCTATACTTTTCCTTTTGAAACAGTCATTTTAGGCTCACTGGGACTTCATGTTGCCTTTCTGCTTATAAATAACTTAAAGTTTACCAGTCTCCTGTGTCCTCATCAAGTCGAGGGCAAGGGTTGTTCAGCTTTGCTTGTTCCTGTTGCTCTCCATCATGTTTTAGATGTGTGGGGATTGGATCTCTGTGTCTGCCATTATCCTAGGCTGCCTAGAAATATCCAGTATCAGTAATTTAAATGCTCTTAGAAGTTTATAAACCCTAATGGGAAAATTAGCACATGAACTACATGGACGGTTTACCAAAGAAGAAATACAAGTTACCGATGACTGTATGGAATGTTTTCAATCTCATTGATAATGAAAGAAATGAAAATCCTAGTAATGATAAAATAATTTATCACTCATCAAATTGGCAAAGGTTTAAAAAAGAAAATTAAAAAAGGGAAAAATACCCAGATTGTCAAGAATTAAGAGAAGTATTATGATATACTTTGGATGGCCACACACTTAATGAATGTTAATTTAAGTCTCTAAATGTCTGTGTTTTAAAGATGCAAGTTGAAATATTTATGAACTCCACTGACTGGGTGTCTCAACCTCCCTCACCTCCAGCTTCTGTGCTGGCAGAACGGAGTAACAGCTGTTCCTGCCTCATGGAGGCGACGTGAAATTAAATGAGACATTCCACATAGGATGCCTGACACCCATGGGTACCCACACACCCTGTGCTGTCCTTACTTTATCATGGTGATGGTGATGATGAAGGAGAAGATAATAGATAGATGGTAGATAGATGATTGATAAATAACTAGATTATAGATAGATAATAGATAGAAAGATAGATGATATGTAGATAATAGATAAATAATAGATAGTATTTGGTAGATAGATGATAGATAGAATACTTATTGGTCATGCAGTTAGGTTCTATGTGCATCTTCACTAGTGATGTCTCTGGAAGCCACGGCAGGATGATCGAGAGGGCTTGCTTTGCAAATGGAGACTTTAAGTCAAGTACAACAGCCACATCCCAACTTTTCTCCACACACACAAAGTCCACAATAATTATAGATATAACACATTTAATCATCATAAAAGCATTGTGAATACCAAACACAAGCAAATTTAAAATCAAGATGAAATGGATGCATAGTTACAAAATATTTTAAGATGCCAAAACTTACATTTAAATAATTTAAGTCTGAATATACTAACAGCCATTAAATAAGTGAGATAGTACTAAGATCTACCCATTTTCATTTACCATCTCCCCAGAATACACCCAAACTGGAGGATCTAAGAGGTGAGGTGAACCAAACTCTCACAGAACACATGAACCCCGTCTTACATAAATGGGTCCAGAAAAATGAAAGCAGGGGGAGGGGAATCGACTCATGCCTGATGGTTATGTGTACTTGACCCCCAACTTAGAAAAGTGTCAGTCTGGCTTTTCCTTAAATATGGAATACATTTATGAAAAACTCCCCAGTGAAGTGAATCAATTCACAGCATTTAAAGTTATGATTAGATATGTTTACCCCTGTGTGCCAGTGATTCTTCATCGGGAAGCCTGTTCCTGTAAGTCACCACATTAATAGACTAACAAAAACATATGTGGTTATTTCAGTAGATACAGAAATAGCACTTGATGGAGTTCAACACTTTTTCATGATATCACCCTTTAGGAAAACCAGAACACAGTAAAGGAGGTGAACGCGTGAGGAAGTCACACAGGTGAAATGAAAGGCTTGTGTTTAGTTTCAGGTACTGATGGGGTGTCATCTTGTCCTGATGATGTTTACTTGTTATAAAGCAAATTTGTAATCATCGCAAGAACAGGACCCCAAGTCTTTTTTTTTTAAAATTATAAAGGCAGTATTTATTAAAATACATTTCATTTTCAAAATTAAGCTATCAGCTATTAAAGTGTGTGTACATTTGGGGGGGTACCTTGTATATAGATTTATAATTATATACTTAAAAGTTAACTTTCTTAAAAGAATACTTCTCATTTCATGTGCCATGCATGCACTGATACTTTTTATTCTAATTTACTTTACTAAAGGCTGATTTAACCTCCTAAATTGATTCACGATCCACACGAATGGGTGGTAACTGTATGAAAAGTACTTTAGGTGCTGTTCTCTGAAACAAGCAGTAGTGAGACATAACCAGTGATGTGCTTTGGAAGATAAAACTAAGCAGCAGCAAAAGTGATGAGAAAAGAAAGGAGAATGTAACAATAATACAGGAGAGTGAATGGGAATGAAGAGAGCATTTCAGGGGCTTTTGTTTAACACAGAGTAATATGAACTTACTGACTGGGTGTGCAAGGCAAAGGAGACAGCAGAGCCAGACAATGCTGTGACTTCCAGCCCCGGTGGCTGTGCACATGGAGTGCCTGTAAAAGGAATGGGGAAGTCAGGGAGAGGCAAGTATATGTGTATGTAAGATTATCAATTCTATTTTGAACAAGAATGTTTGTAAGATTCGGAGAAAATTGATAGTAGGTAACCTGACTGTAGCACAGAAATTAATATTAGACCCAAACAGAAATGCATGGTTTAACAAAAGGGTAGTTCAAGTTATCACAGAAGATGAGATACCCAAAAAATAAAGGGGGGGGGTAGTTTATCTTTATGTTTAAGAGAAGGAAAAGAAAGAGACGTTCCATAGGGAATGAGTTAAAAGTGGAAAATGCTACTTAGGTGGAGAGCTCAGGGCTGAGAAAACAGCACTGGATTTAGCTAATAAGAATAAGAGGTGTCATACTTGAGTGAGTGGTGGGGGAAGCCAAATTCAAAACGGTTAAGCGTGAGCGATGGTGAGAAAATGAAATAAATTCAAGTTTGTCTAGGCCCTTCCCGGATCGTCTCATGCCAGAAGCGCTGGTTAGATGTGTAGTCATAGGGCTCTTTGGGGGGTGGGGATTGTGTCTGCGGCCTCCAGACAGTGATCTGGGTGATTAAGTTGAGCTTTTCGTGGATAAGTGTTCTCTAAGGCCCAGGCTAGCATCTGCTCGTTGGCCTCTTACACGCTGTCAGCGGCCCGCATCAGCGCCACGGTGCTCCCCGCTCCCCGCTGCGCTCCGGGCCTGGACGTGGGAGGCGAAGGCAGCGAGCGTTTCTTGGGCGGTGAAGTGGGCGCCGCGCATAATCAAGCCGTGCGCATCTCCGAAAAGCATATCCACGCAGCGTTCGGAGCCGTCGTGCCTAACATCCACAATCACGGAGCATTTCAAGTTGGTGGCGCGGACCTTCTCGCGGCTCACCGCCTGGAGGAAGGTCCTCGTAGACTCCACATTGTTCTCAAAGGGGCAGAACTGAACCCGAACCTCCTTGACGGCCAGAGTCCTAGCCGAGCCAAGGCGGCCACTGCCATGGTAACCTCAGGAACCCAAGTCTTGAACCTCATAAACCATGACCAAGTGCCCATGTCATCTGCTAACTGGGGACCTGTTGCAAAATGGTCATAAATAAATGGAAAGGAAGCATTTCTGGGAGTTATGAATGCAGACTACAAAGCAGGGGAGAAAAGGTTGAAAGCTCAAGCAAAACGATGCTTGTACTTTTTCATTCCGAGTGATTGGATGAGTGTATCTAGAGGCCAACTTGATTTTTATTTCTTCCAGTCTCTGGACGGCTTTGCTCTGGTGGTGAGTGCGGAAGGGGTGATATTTTATGCATCAGCAACGATCGCGGACTACCTGGGCTTCCACCAGGTGAGTAAACCCTCTCTCTGCCGTGTGATAGGTCCCGTTAACCTGTGGATGCTCATTGTCTTCAAGGTTTAAACATCTCCAAAGTCTGCTTTTCTTATCACAGAGGTTTTAGCAGGTAAGCATTTCCACACCTCAGCTTTGTCTGAGGTTCGGTCACAGCAAGAGGTGTGACGTGTCCAGGGTGTCCCGAATCTAAAGAGCAGCGATGGTGCCGACTGTGGCACAGCCCCCACACTTGTCATGCTCTGGCTAGCCCTTGCCAGCAGCATGGATGTCTTCAACACCAGGACAAAGTGTGTTCTGGAAACACCCTCTTGGATGCGCAGATAATCCACTTGGGACGTTACCGCAGACCAGCCAGGGGGTGGTTCCAGACATTGGGGCCAAGAGCTGTGGCCAAGGCCCATCAAATGCTGGGACCCAGAAGGGCAGCTCCTCTAAGAAAAGGTGCAGTGAGAAGTCCCACCCAAAACCCAGGAAAGGAAAAGGACACTTCTCTGTGACACTCCTGAGAGGCGTCCCCACACCAGCCCCACGACAGGGGAGGCTGCCTGGGGTGTTTGTCCCCTTGGCTGCCCTCAGCAGTGTGTGACATACACCGTGCCCAGATCCTGAGATGAATCTCTCATTCCTAGGACAATACAAGCACCAGGCGTGGCCAGCTTAGCCCTGGTACCCTCCCGTTCCCCTGTCCCCTCCTGTACACCCCAGAAGCTCTGGGGTGCCTCATTTACACAGTGCTGTTCACCCCTAGGTGGCCAGTAGATTGGTGGGCACAGCTGGGGTTAATGGCTCGCTCGCTGGTGGACAGGGCAAGAATATGGACACGACTTGATTCCAGCCCCCAGGTGGTGAAGATTTAACGGACTTCCCTCAGTTGCCTTCGCAGGGCTGAGTCTAGAGAGACGCTGTTTGGTTTGCCTTTCCGTGCTGTCACCAAGAGTTGCCCTGTGAATTCTTTAGCCGTTATTCGGAGGTCTTAGCGCAGACGTTGGCTCGGTGATCAAGGCAGGGGTCCTGTAGAGCAGCCTGGTTCCAGGTCCGAACTTGTCATTGGACCTTTGTTTTATTGGAGCTTGGTTATTTCCCTCCAAGAGTTAGAAGTAAAAAAAAAGTTTTCCCTTTTATTATAAGGAAATTGTTTCCAAATGCCATTAAATCAGGCATCGACTCTAATTTATGCAAAATATTTCATAAAAATCTGAGAACAGCTTTGTGCTATTGTGAGCTCCTTGTGCAAAATGATTTACAAAGTCAGGAGCCAGATTCTTCCTATCACAGCCGGAGCCCAGTGTCTATCTCAGGCCCAGCACTTTTTGTGGTGAATACATAGGTTTAGGCATATATTTCAGTCACCGTTTTTTGATTGAAGAAGTTGTCTGTCCTCGCACAGGGCAGCAGTGGGGAGACTGTCCCCGTGTGAGCCACGGCGCCCGTGGAGCGTGTTGACTTTGCACAAAAAAGTAAAGATGATAATTGTTGGCATGAGGATTTTGTTCAAGTAATGTTTTTATTCTTAACTCCATAATGACGGTTTAGAGCTAAAATAATGGCTGCTTTTACTTGATCAAAGCCATGTTTTTGTCTATTTGAATAATTGTTATATTATTCTCTGACTTCCTCGCATTTTTCCCACCATTTACTCCTCTTGACCTCACTTCCTAGGAATCAAGCTCTAGGAGATTAAGTAAGAAGAAGGGTGGTCAGACGTGCCACACTAATTATTACAATACAGGTCCTTGTTTCCTCAAACTGAAAAAAATTCACATTTAATGTCTTCAAATTGGCCTAAGT